GTCCCACGAAACCTGCAATTCTGAATTTTTTTGTTGTTCCAAATTAGAACAAGCAGTTGGAAATACAAAGTTTTCTGTGGAATAGACTTTTTGAAAACTTCTAGACTGGCACACTGGCCAGACCGTCGGGAGCCAATCTGCTTGGTTTTCATCAAAACTTATGATGGAATAGAGACATTCCTGTAGAATGCTTCAATTCCATGGACTCAACATTTTTTGATGGAAAAAACACGTACATTGGAAAGTATTTTTTACAAGCCCTATGCTTATGACTTTGGTGTTTTGTTTTGTTTTAAGGCAGACGAGATGCTCCATGTTAAAGACACACTGTTCTTTTAGAGTTCTCCTTGATCTAAAAGAAGTAATTCAGTCACCAATTGCATAGTTACTCTATCTGGAAAAGCACAGCAGTGACTAATAAGCCTTCTTCCTATCTTTAGACAATGCAACTTACACCTGTAGAAGGACTATGGAAAGTAAAGTTTCACTGAAAAGAATTTGCACTGCAGTTTACTCATTGAAAGAGGAGAGTGTTACACACATTCATGCCTCACGTCTTGCCAGCCAACTCCAACAAAGCACAACTGACCTGGAGACTAGACAGTTCCTTAAGGGCCTGACCCTGTTAATTTCCAAGTGTCCTCACCTCCCTCTGAAGTGAATGGGAGTTGAGCACATTCAGTACTATACAGGAGCAGACCCTATGTGCATAGGGATAGAGATATTCAAGTTTTTTAAAATACAGTCTTGTCCATTTCTTAAAGGAATAAAATGATTCTGTATCTCACAGATCATGTCCACATTTCTTCCATGATTTCCACCAATAAACCATTGTAGGAGGCAGCAATGGGAATTTTTATAGGTCAGAACCATGCAGCATAGTTAGTTTCTTCAGCCCAGTGCCATATTTAACCATTTCATTGTTTAAAACGTTTTGGTTCCAGCCATCTATAAAACAAAAACAAAAAGGGCCTTCTCTTTAGGATGAGACTGTCCATACAGAGGATTAAAAAGCCTTGTTTTCAATACCGTTGCTTTTCTCTTTTTCCTATAAGCATTGTATTAAGGTAGAGTATATCTTTTCAAAACAGTGAGTGATGGCCAAATCTTGGCTCTTGCCACAGCCTGAGCACGTGCTATGGCGCCTCTCAAAAAGGGCCAGGATGGGAAGAAGTCTCTAGCCAGCTGATGAAGCCAGTCTTTCATCTGCCAGGAGGAGCGGCAAGATGGCCAGATGCAGTGGCTCTATTAGTGCCCTCACTTCTCCCTCAGACTTAGCCCAATCCCCCCAGTCCCCAAACTACATCCACATTTCTGCCAACTGCGGAAGCAGTGTAATTATGGGTAGGCTTTCCACCTCTGAGAACAAAACCAATGGACTATATCCATCATGGGGATAGGGGAGGAGGAGATGTCTGAGGATGTGAACAAGCGCTACACAACAAAGGAGTCTATAAAACTAATATGTTCAGAGAAAGATGATGCATGTGTGCTACATAGTAGAGATGCAGTTGCAAATGAGCATCCATTCAATCCCCATCACAACAGTACCTGACACTACACTCCACGGAAATCTCTACAGCTATTTTCAAAGGATATGCAAGGGCCATAAAGGAAACAAAAATATTTCAGAAACACGTCAATCAGAGCAGTGGCTGCGCAGTACCTCTGAAAATTAGGTCACTTATTTATGTGCTTAACTTCAGGCAGCCAAGTGGGAGCCTTAACCTCTTTGGGCTTCTGTTTCCCCATCCATTAACAGGAGATCACAGTCTTTGCTCCTATAGAGCATTTTAGGTCCGCAGATGACACGTGCTGTGTAAGTGCTAAGCATTGTAGTGAAGGGAGCTGGAAAGCAGTAGTGAATGCTAGCCATTTGCTTTTCAATTTGCTAGATATTTTACAAGAATATTTTTATTTCCACTTCTTCTAACTGCCATGATATTTATCCATGAGCCTTTGTATGCAGCTCCCTTCACAGCATTCTGAGAACAGAATGTGCTGATGACCAGTAAACTGTAGTGGCTGCAGATCCAACCAAAATCCTAATTGTGTTTATAATACATGAGCCTAGGCATTCTTGCTTAGTATTATTTGAACACGATCGTGTTCACATCCTTAATATTAGTTCATTTTGAAGGGTCACAACAGTTCAGGTGGACCAGGTCTTAAGATTTTACTGAGAGTGCTTGTTTCAGTGAGAATATTTGGGTTTGGGGTAAGAGGAGGCCATGGTCGAACCACATAAGAGGCTGTCCCACCTCATGTTGGGAAACAGCCACAGGAGGGCGACTAAGAGGATCATGTGTAGCTAAAGGTAGCTTAGAATGGGCCTGGAGCCTTGAAACAGCTCTGTGCTTGGCGGCTAACTGACGGAGAAGGTAAGTGGCAACAGGAAATTCTGCCTGCTTGTGTAGGAGCCCTTTTCCTGTCATGCTGGTGCTGAATCAGTGAGTCTACAGAGGGCAGAGAAGAGGTTAGGTTGATGACAGGAAGAGGAGGAGGAGACAGAGAAGAGCTGGTATATTTGGCTCCTTTCCCTCAGCTCAATTTTCTAAGGAAGTGTGAAGTCATCCATAGGGTTCCAAAGGTTAAATTGTCCATCCTGCTCAGTGAGGTTTAAGCAGACATTCCCCTTCCTTTCCTTACATCAGACATAACTCACGTTATCTTTCCTTCCGTGTGTTTTGGTAGCATTCTCCATTATGTCGGTAGTTACCAAGGATTGATGTGTACTGCTGGCAAAACCGTTGGTGTTTAGAGGACATTGCTTACGTCATCCTGGAACATTAGTGTTGCATGCCCAGAAACAGCGTATTCAGCATCAGCTATGGCATCACCTCCTGACCAACTGTCATCTATGATAGCTCTGGGGATAAAAAAACAGGAAACATTTTGGCCTGGCAGGACGACTCAAAAATAGCTGGTATTAGCTAACTTCCTCTGTTTCAATGTCTGCCCTTTTCCTTAGGTTGAGTTAAGACTTGAACATCTCAGGGAAGAGATATTCAGATTTCAATAAGGCTCATCTTCACCATTTGTAGCAAGCTGGGGTGTGAATCTACCCTGCCCTGCAGTAGGTATCTGTGTAGACCCTGCTGCTGTGCACTAACAGTTCGCTAGTGCACTTAGAGAGTAGCTAAAAGCACGCTAAGGAACTGTTAGTGTGCATCAGCAAGGTCTACACAGTCAGTGAATAGCGGGCTAGTGAAGGTCAGATTTACACCACAGCCTGCTGCAAACTAAACATTCATGTGGACAAGCCCTAAGATCTGGAACAATACGTACCACCAAAACAATCAACCACTGGTGTTGGGGCAGGTGGTGCTTTGCACAAATGAGCTCTGCAGGACAACCAGAAATCAGGCAGGAGGAGAATTTTGTATCTGGTTTTAATGAAAACGTTTTTAAATCTTTGTTGCAATTCTATAATTTTCAATTTTGTTTTAAACGACTGATAATTTTGATGGCAGAACATGAAATTACTGCCCAACACAACTACTCACGTGCATAAAGTGAAGCACATCTGTGAGCGTTTGCAGGTTCAGGGCCTTTGATAGGAATCCCTACCCAGGAGAACTAGGCGCTCTCATCAATTTACCCATATGTAACAACAAGTCATAATAAAATAAGTGTCTGGACTCACACATGTGGTTGGCCCCTTAGTGCATATTCTGGTTTCTGAGAGCGAGCTCTGGTACAAATTCTCTTGAGCTCTACTGGTGGATATTTGTTCCTTGCACCTGTCAAGAAAACAAGACATAGTAACAAAATGTACCAACTCAATGCAATTTGAAACAGTTTTCACTCAACTTTTCCTCTTCTGCCCCCACGTATCTTCATTCACCCAGCAGGGTTGTACTAAATACTGAAAGCAGTAAGACAAATTACTGGCAGAGCTTGCAAGGGCTTATACTCAGCTTGATGTATTTCTGTTTGGATGGAACACAATAACTTTTGGATGTCACAGTCAAGTGATTATAAAATCTCAGAGAATGGTCTAGACATAAGAACATAAGGGGTCAACAAACATGTGGACAAGGGGGACCCAGTGGACACAGTGTACTTTGATTTCCAGAAAGCCTTTGACAAGGTCCCTCACCAAAGGCTCTTAAGTAAAGTAAGTTGTCGTGGGATAAAAGGGAAGGTCCTTTCACAGACTGAGAACTGGTTAAAAGACCGGGAACAAAGGGTAGGAATTAATGGTAAATTCTCAGAATGGAGAGGGGTAACTAGTGGTGTTCCCCAAGGGTCAGTCCTCAGACCAATCCTATTCAACTTATTTATAAAAGATCAGGAGAAAGGGGTAAACAGTGAGGTGGCAAAGTTTGCAGATGATACTAAACTGCTCAAGATAGTTAAGACCAAAGCAGACTGTGATGAACTTCAAAAAGATCTCACAAAACTAAGTGATTGGGCAACAAAATGGCAAATGAAATTTAATGTGGATCAATATAAAGTATGCACATTGGAAAAAATAACCCCAACTATACATACAATATGATGGGGGCTAATTTAGCTACAACAAGTCAGGAAAAAGATCTTGGAGTCGCTGTGGATAGTTCTCTGAAGATGTCTGCGCAGTGTGCAGAGGCGGTCAAAAAAGCAAACAGGATGTTAAGGATCATTAAAAAGGGGATAGAGAATAAGACTGAATATATTATTGCCCTTATATAAATCGATGGTACGCCCACATCTCAAATACTGCGTACAGACGTGGTCTCCTCATCTAAAAAAAGATATAATGGCACTGGAAAAGGTTCAGAAAAGGGCAACTAAAATGATTAGGGGTTTGGAACAGGTCCCATATGAGGAGAGATTAAAGAGGCTAAGACTCTTCAGCTTGGAAAAGAGGAGACTAAGGGGGGATATGATAGAGGTATATAAAATCAAGAGTGATGTGGAAAAAGTGGATAAGGAAAAGTTATGTACTTATTCCCATAATACAAGAACTATGGGTCACCAAATGAAATTCATAGGCAGCAGGTTTAAAACAAATACAAGGAAGTTCTTCTTCACGCAGAGCACAGTCAACTTGTGGAACTCCTTTCCTGAGGAGGTTGTGAAGGCTAGGACTATAACAGTGTTTAAAAGAGAACTGGATAAATTCATGGAGGTTAAGTCCATTAATGGCTATTAGCCAGGATGGGTAAAGAATGGTGTCCCTAGCCTCTGTCTGTCAGAGGGTGGAGAGGGATGGCAGGAGAGAGATCACTTGATCATTGCCTGTTGGTCCGCTCCCTCTGGGGCACCTGGCATTGGCCACTGTCGGTAGACAGGATACTGGGCTAGATGGACCTTTAGTCTGACCCGGTATGGCCATTCTTATGTTCATAAGAACAGCCATACCGGGTCAGACCATAGGTCCATCTAGCCCAGTATCCTGTCTTCCAACAGTGGTCAACGCCAGGCTCCCCAGAGGGAATGAATAGAGCAATCACCCAGTGATCCATTCCCTGCAGCCCACTCCCAGCCTCTGGCAAACAGAGGCTAGGGACACCATCCCTGCTCATCCTGGCTAATAGCCATTGATGGACCTATCCTCCATGGATTTATCTAGGCTTCAATGGGCAGAATCCTACTGATTTTGGTGAAAATTGGAAGGGGGAAAAATCTGAAAGGGGCGGGGGGGGGGGACGGACGTGTGTAGCCCCTGGCATCTGATTGTAGACCTAGCAGCTTCAAGCACCTCTGTAATTGTGTACAAATCAAAGAACTACTTGATGGCTGCCATTAATGTTTCTATTATAACAACACCCCCTCCCCCCATCTCAGCTCCGCCCATCCTCCCAATACAGTTTTAAAATGCTGACGAGAGAGAGAGAGAGAGAGAGAGAGAGAGAAGTAGAATACGAAGAACAGGTGGACAGGT